CGCCGCGGGAACGCGGGGCCCCCGCCTCCCCGCCCTGCGTCCGCGCGCCTCGCCGGGCCTCGCCGAGAGCCTGGTCCCTGGCTCTCCCAGCAGATCTGACGCTGTCACTCTCGTTCTACGACGTGTCCTGGGGGACTTTCCCTCTAGGCCCGAAAATTCCCAGTTATGAGCAGGAAATGAGCCGAGAGCGCGGACGGGCGGCGGGAGAGAAGAGCCGGCACTGGGGCCTTTCGGAACGCTAGCTGCAGCCCCGCGGGAGCCTGAGTCAGCAGGTTTGCGCAGCCCCTTCCCTCCTAGCCGGTGCCCGGGAGCAGCCCGCCCAGCCTGGGGTCTCCAAGCCCGGTGGAAGGGGCCAGGCAGAGAGGCCAACCTGGCCAGGAGGGGAGGGAATGGGCCCCCGGAGACTGTTCTGGATGCCAGAAGACACGGGGCAACTTGACCTTCGGCTGATGTAACTGGCTGGGACCCGTGCTCCCTCCTGGCCCGGCGGGACTAGAGGCCAGGTTCCCGGCCCCACATTTCCCCGATGCTTTTAGGAATGCGTTTGGAGAATTGATGGATCACATTTTATGTCTGCACACGAGAGAATAAATCTAAACGAAACCTAATTAAGACGAGCCTGTTAATTACCATGCCAACTGCAGGACCTTGTCCACTCTTGGGCTCATTGCGATTCAAAGTGTTTCCATCCCTTCTGTGAGACTTTACATCCCCATCCCCTGGGAAATGCCAGGGGACTTCAAAAAGTTCGTGGGGAAATTCTTTTTTTTTTTTCAAAGCCTGTATATAGTTGGAATTATATGTGCATGTGTGTGTGCTTACATATATAGCATCTCTTGTCACTTGCTGGACAGACCCCTTGCCCCAGGGCTTCCAACGGGGTCATTTCCCTTTGACCGTTTGCAGAAGATTTGCATAAGAATCTCTGGATTCAGTGCATCTGTGGGGGTAAGAAGGCGCCTTCTTAGCTGAGACTTGAGGCCAAAAGAACCAGTTCATTCGTGGGGCAAGGCTGGTTCCAACTGGCAACAGAGATTTCACAGTCTTTGCTCTGGAGACCTGTAGCTACTGGGTTAAACATAGGACCGCTACTGCTAACTGTTGCTGCTTCCTGGTTGAAACTGCTCATCTCCCTAGACTCTCTCCCTAGATCAGTGGCCCCTTTTCCTGTGCTCACAGCAGACTTGGTTCTTCTTAGTCATCCTATCAGTGGCTTGTCATTCACCCATTCTTCACATTGTTTTTTAAAAATATCTTTAAGGTGGCCCTGATAAGGTAGCACACCAATGATTAAGGTGGTGGTGGCTTTCCTCAGCCCCCATCCTGCTCTGAAATATCCTCCAGGCTGGCACCTGCATTTACTTAGCTCTGAATCTATGGTGCCTAATGTCTAACTGATGCCCAGGTAAGAGCTGAATTGTACAAAGCCATTAGGGAATAATTTATTCCTGGGACAAATGTGCACCAAGTGCCTACTACGTGCCAGGCACTGAACTGGCCACCGAGGAGAGCCGCCTCCACCCCAACCCCCAGTGTTTAACTCTCAGGAAGAGAGGCCAGAGGCTGAGCCCCTGCCAGAGGAAGCAGGTTGAGTACTCACTTCCCCAGGAACATTTTTTGTAAGTGCTCCCTGTCGAATAAGGAGTAAAGATAACACGTGGACACAGACACCACCATTCTCCAGACTGGTGAAATATTAGAGGAAGTAATGCAAGAAAGATGAAAAAGCTAAGCTTCTTGAGAGTCAAAATTTTCCTTCTCCCACGGGCCAGGGCAAGCTAAGGAGAGCTCAGAGAAGTTGTTTAAATTGTTGAAAATACAACTGGCCATGATCTGGAATGTAAAGCCCTACCTAACATACAATAAAACGTTGAAAAACAAATGCTCCTGCTCCCTCTTTCCCTGACCCACCCCCTCCTCAAGTTCACTGTTACAAGCTGGCCCTGCCAGTTGAGGAGGGACGCCATTCTGCCTTAGTGTGAGGCTTGGGTCCTTGTTTCCCTGATGGTGAGGTTCTTTTTTATTTTTTAAATCATTTTATCGGGGGCTCATTCAACTCTTATCACAATCCATACATACATCCCTTGTGTCAAGCACATTTATACATTTGTTGCCCTCCTCATTCTCAAAACATTTTCTTTCTACTTGAGCCCTTGGTATCAGCTCCTCATTTTCCCCCCACCCTCCCCACCCACGCCCCTCATGAACCCTTGATAATTTATAGATCATTACTATTTTGTCATGTTTTACATTGTCTGATGTCTCCCTTCACCCACTTTTCCATTGTCTGTCCCCCAGGGTGGGGGTTATATGTAGATCCGTGAGATTGGTTCCCCCTTTCTAAACCGCCCCCCCCTTCCCTCCCCTTCCCCATATTGTCACTCTAACCACTGGTCCTGAAGGGTTCCTCTGTCCTGGATTCCCTGTTTCCAGTTCCTATCTGTACCAGTGTACATCCTCTGGTCTAGCCAGATTTGTAAGGTAGAACTGGGATAGTGGGGGGGGAGCGGGGAGGAAGTATTTAAGAACTAGAGGAAAGTTGTATGTTTCATCATTGCTACACTGCATCCTGACTGACCCATCTCCTCCCCGCGATTCTTCTGTAAGGGGATGTCCAGTTGCCTATAGATGAGTTTTGGGTCCCCACTCCACACTCCTCCTCATTCACAATGATATGATTTTTTGTTCTTTGATGTCTGATACCTGATCTTATCGACACTTCATGATCACACAGTATACTTCTTCCATGTGGGCTTCGTTGCTTCTCAGCTAGATGGCTGGTTGTTTATCTTCAAGCCTTTAAGATCACAGACACTATATCTTTTGATAGTCGGGCACCATCAGCTTTCTTTGACGGTAGGATTCTTTTAGAAACCCTGGTTTGAACTCTGACTCCATGACTTTCAAGCAGTCTGATCTTGGCAGCTCTGCTCAGCCATTTGCTGTGTGACTTCAGACCAAGTCCAATTCCTTCACTTATTGTTCTCAGGAGGGTCTTGTAAAGATGGAAGGAAGCATTGCCCAGGAAGTAGACGGTGTTATTATTATCGTGTCCACTTGTATGAGTCTTACGCACATACAACACAACGGTAAAGTGTATTTGGGAGTCCCGGTGACAGATTTAAGTTCCAACTCTGCTACTCGCTTGCTGTGTGACTTGGGACAAACCCCTTCATCCTTCCAAGCCTCTCTGTCCCCACACATACATGACCGTGATAAGCTCTTCATCAGGGAATGGCCGGCTGGGAATTGGTACTGAGTTATGAAACAGCTCATTGGAATCTTGGTCTGTGTGATGCTGGGAGGCAG